CCCACAGGCGGGTCTGCACTGTCCCTGGCAGCTGCTTGCGCCCTGGGCAGTGCGTTGTTGGTGCTGCTACGTCAGGGCTCCCCCCAGGAGCGGGGGCTCCGAAAATCGGGCCCTTGGCTGGTGCTGCCAGGCCAGCGCTCCTCTGGCACGCGCTCAGCAGGGTCTGTGCTTCGCAGGGCGTCGGGGGCCAGGCCTCCCGCAGCCTGATGGATCACTTTGCAGAGATCCTCTTCACCCTGAGCAAGCACTGCTTCAGCTACCTGAGCGTCTGGATGAAGGAGGCCATGCAGCAGGAGGGCTTCCCCTCGGCCCGCGTCAGCCCGGAGCAGAAGGACACCTTCAGCCAGCAGATCCTCAGGTGGGGCTGACCTGAGGAGCTCACAGCCCAGGCTGATCCCAGAGGGGAGACGCCCCTTACAGGAGCAAACCTCTTTCCCCCCCGCCCCCCAAGCTCTGCATGCCAGCTGGCCCTGCCTGGGGAGCCCCCCTGGCTCTATGTGCTATCCAGCCCTGCAAAGGGAGCCACTGGCCCCACAAGGAGTGCCCCCCCCCCCGGCTCTGTGTGCTATCCAGCCCCGCAAGGGGAACCCCTGCCCCCCCCAGCTCTGCACACCTGCTGGCCCCACAAGGGGAGCCCCCCGGCTCTGTGTGCTATCCAGCCCCGCAAGGGGAGCCCCTGCCCCCCCCAGCTCTGCACACCAGCCGGCCCCACAAGGGGAGCCCCCCCGGCTCTGTGTGCTATCCTGCCCTGCAAGGGGAGCCCCTGCCCCCCCAGCTCTGCACACCAGCCGGCCCCACAAGGGGAGCCCCCCCGGCTCTGTGTGCTATCCAGCCCCGCAAGGGGAGCCCCTGCCCCCCCAGCTCTACACACCAGCCGGCCCCGCTAGGGGCGCCCCCAGCTTTGCATGCTGCCGCTGCCGGCTCTCCCGTGCTGCTGGTCCCTTGGGCAGCGGGCTGGCTGTGGGCCAGGGGCGAGCATTGGTAGAGTCTGTCCCTTGTGTCTGGCTCACGCGTGTCCCTGTCTCCGTGTTAGCAGAGAGCGCGTGAACAAGAGGCGCGTGAAGGAGATGGTGAAGGAGTTCACCCTGCTGTGCCGGGGACTGCATGGCACGGAATACACAGCCGACTACTGAGAGCCCCGCCAGGAGAGCAGACGGACCGCCCAGGCCAGCTCTTCCCCGCACGGCAGCCCCCGTCCTCCCCGCCCCACTGCAATCGGCTCGTAGAATAACCCTCCACCTAGAAGTAACCCGCTCCGGACGCTGCTCAGCTACAACCCTCTGTTCCCCAGCATGCTCCCCCCGGCAGGGGCTGGGAGCGGGCAGCAGCAGCTGCAGGACATGGTGGGGAGGCTGGACAGACGGACCTGGCACAGTGACTGCCCTTGCTGTGGCTTGGCTGCCAGCCCTTCCCGTGGGCAGCCATGCGCTGGAGTCCCTGCAGGAGGCTGCCCCCTCGCGTGTCCATGGTGGTGACCGTCCCGCACCAGGGGGCCTTGCCCTCTGGCCGTGTGTATATGGTTGGGGGGAGCCCTGCACCTAATTATAGTCAGGATATTTCTATGCTGCGGCCGTGCTTCTTCTGCTGTGCCTGGGGGAACCCCCCAGAGCCTCCCCTCTCCGTGCGGCCTTGGTACTCCTCTGCACATGGCCAGCAGGGGCCACTCAGGCTGCAACCCAGGGGGAGAGGAGCTCAGCATGCAGGGGTGCTGGGAGCTCCTGTCTGCCAGGGGTTTGGCTAGTTGTTTTGTGCAGCAGCCCCCTTGCCCGGCTGCTCTCTGAACAGGCTCTGGGCCCTGGGAGCCCAGGGCAAAGAGTGGCCAAGGGGAGCCGGCGTGAGGCTGGCACGGATGGGTGGAGAGGCTTTGCCCGAGCTGCGGCTTGGGAGCCCTGGCTAGCTGCCCGAGGGGAAGCACCAGGCCAGGCGAGCTGGTGGGTGTGCTGCAGGCACTGGCCTGAGCACAGAGCCAGTAGTCAATGCATCTAACTGCAGCTCGGCGCTAGCCAAAGTGGCCTGCAGCAGAGCAGGCCAAGGCTTGTCTGCCTGTCCGTCTGGTCTGGTGAGGGGGGGGCTCTCACAGGGGCCAGGGCTGGAGTGTGTCTATGGCCCAGCAACGCCCAGGTCCCGGAGAGCCCTTCTCTTCACAACTGCCCTGCGGCCCCTCTCAGCAGGGGAAGGGGCTGCCGCAGAACCGGCCCAACTTTCAGGGGCTCCTTGGATCGCCCAGCTGATGGACCCAGCTACGTGTCCGCCCTGTGACCTGGAGTGGGCAGGGCCCTTCATCCCTAGGGCTGCAGGCTCACCCGGTCTGCACCAATGCAAGCCCCAGAGTGAGCGAGAGCAGCTGCTTCTACGTCTCCGCTGGCCACGCCTCCTGCCCCCAAGGCTTGAAACTCAGCTGGGCAGCCTGGCCCAGCCCCTGGCCCTTCTTTTGCTTAGCGGGGTTAGGGGTGGCTCTGGGCCTGGCACAAGCAGGGTGGAAACAGCCCCCGCGTGCTGCCAGTTTGCGCTCTCATTTGGGACCCTGCCTGGTTCATCCCAGTCTCACTGGCTTCTCTCCAGCCTGTTAGTGGGGGGCCACGTGGATTTCTCAAGCGGGTCGGGGAGAGGCTGCCCCATGGCGTGGGGCCAGGTTTAATTTCCCCTACCGTACTTAGTTTGCTACTGTGTGATACTGTTGCATCAACCTTGTAGGTTTCCTTTGATATGGGGCAAAGGCTGGAGCTGATGCATCTCCCCACTGCCCCCCCAGGTGTGGGGCAGCCCAGTGCCTGGGCCTGGTAGCTCCCTGCCCCTCATGCCTTGTCCGTAGCAGTGGATCAGTGGGGTGGAGTGCAGCAGGATGTGCTGGTGAGGAAAGGCGCACACTGGGCAGGGCATGTTGAGACCCAGTCTGGGAGGCAGGGCCCGAGCCTGGCCCAGACTGGTGCAGGAATAGCCAAGGCAGCCCCTCCCGGACCTATTAGAGCCACCCTAGCCCCAGCCCCAGCCCCAATGGCGGCTGAGAGGGGCAGAGGTGCAAGCTGCTTTTCCAGTGCTGTGGGGCCAGGCTGCCCCTTGCTGCTGCCACCAGGGCCCTGCTGGGAGTTGGCTCCCAGTCACCCCAGGGTGTGGATGGCTGATGTGCCCGCTGCTTCCTGCACCATGCACCCTGGGGCTGCAGGAGGGAGGTATGGGAACAGCCCCAGCTTGAGGGCAGCAGGCTCCAGCTCCTGGCAGCCTTTCCAGGCTAGGCGGGGGAGCACCAGATGACAGTAGGAGCAGCGGGTGTCCTGCCCCTCCCTCCCTCCCTCCCAGCCTGCCTCAGTCGTGTCTGGCGTCCTGTGGGTCAGCAGGCCTGGCAGGGAGTGGGTCAGCCCCCCGCTGCTGCCCATGTCATGGACGGGCTGGGGCGAGCCCTGCCCCGCTGGTGCCCATTCCTCAGGAGGAGCTGCCAGGGCGGTGGCCGGCTCGGTGGCAAGCTCCAGCCATCACGGCGCCACCCCCAGTCAGCCCCCAAAACCATGGAGCTGGAGGGTGGGTCTGTAGAGTGTGATCCCAGCTCTGCTGGTTCCCCTCAACCCTGACGCATAGCCCCTGCTCACGTCCCATTGCACCAGGCATTGTGCCCCTGTGGTGGCTGGGGGGGGGTGTTTGTGGGTGCAGGGCCATCCCTGTGGGGTGAGCCCCACATCTTTTATCCCCCAGGTTCCAGTAGCTCCTCCTCCCATCCCTTTGCAACGCCTTCCTGGGCCAGCCCCCTACTGGGGCTAGGCCCTTTGGTCCCACCTGGGACTGCAGCCTCCAGCAAGCCAGGCTCTCTCGGGGTCCCCTCACGCGGGTGCCCCCCCCCCCAATGTCCCCTGATCTCTCGCCTGCAGTGACTCTGTGAAGCCGGCACAGGCTCAGCGCCATCAAGCTGCGTCTTTCCCCATCCAGGGGGCTCAGGCTGCTCTTTGTCCCCCCTCCTCCAGCCACCCCCTAACCAGCTCACCGGGGCCCGCGCTCCTTGCCCTTCCACGTGCTAGAACAGGCTGGTTCCCCCAAAGGGCTGGGCGGCCAGGTCACCGGGGCGAAGTTCTGCAGTGTCCAGGCTGGAGGCAAGCTCACACCTGGCCCTGGGCAGCACATGGGACGCAGACACGCATTACTCATCCTACTCCCCCACTTCATCACCCCCCAGTGCCCCCCGCAATGAGCTGGAAGTGAGCGAGGACACCGCTGTGCAGGTTAGCTGGGACCAGTGAGGCCAGAGCGCAAGGCAGAGAGCCCTGCCCCAGCCGCGGGGAGCGGATTCCTGCCCTGGGAAGTGTTTGCGTTGGACCCAGTTCCCAGGGCTCGGGCTGCGCAGTGGGGCCATTGCAGTGTAGGGAGTGACGCTTTGCCTGGAGCCTGAGCACTGGGAGGGCTCTGCCCACTCCCTGGGGCAACCCGCGCCTTGCGTCTGCCCCTCAGGGTCACACGCTGTCACTAGCGTCAGCCCCTTGGCTTCCACCCCCCCACCCTCCTGGGACTGAGCGCGGACCCCCCCGCAGGGCTGGGGCAAGCCAGGCGCACCCCGCAGGGAGCCCCCCCCCACACCCTGACTCTGGGTGACTCCGGCAGCAGGGTAAGAGCAGGAGGGTTTCTGGACACAGCGTCAAGCGCCCCTGGTTAGCAGAGAGCAGCAATTCAGTGGGTCAGCCTGGAGCCCCGCGCGCTCTTCTGAGCGTTTCTGTGGCCCCGGCCAGGCGCTTCCCCAACTCCAGCAGCCCGCACTTACCCCCCCGCCCACCCTTGTTCCTGGGGAACCTGCGTCACCGCCTCAGGCCTCTGCTCTACAAAGGGCTGCCTTCAGAGTGGGCAGTCCCCAGGCGTTAGTTGGTAGGTATCCACCGTCCAGGCAATTGGACTCTGTGGAATGGGGGCCAGGCCCAACTAGGCATTAGTCGTGCTCTGCAGAGTAAACAATCTCCCCAGCCCTAATTAACCATGCAGCTCTTAGGGGAAACTGAGGCACACACCATAGTCATCCCACAGGAAAAAGCCCCCCCCTCACAAAGGGTGAGAGTTCATGTTTGGGTGGCTCATTCATTCCAGGCAGCAGGTTAAACACAAACAAGAGGAAGTATTTCTTCACACACCACACAGTCAACCTGTGGAACTGGTTGTTAGGGGATGTTGTGAAGGCCACGACGATAATGGGGTTCAAAAAAGAACTAGATAAATTCATGGAGGACAGGTCCATCGATGGCTGTTAGCCAGGATGGGCAGGGATGGTGTCCCTAGCCTCTGTTTGCCAGGAGCTGGGAATGGGCGACAGGGGATGGATCACTGGGCGATTCCCTGTTCTGTTCATTCCCTCTGGAGCCCCTGCCAGTGGCCACTGTTGGCAGACAGGACATGGGGCTGGATGGACCTTTGGTTTGACCCAGTCTGGCCCTTCTTAGGGCCAGCACCCTGGCGCCACGCCCTGTAATGTGCTGTGCCAGCGGCCGGCAGGGCCCCTTGTGACCAGCGAGTGTGACACACCCAGCCCAGGCCAGGGAACAGCCCCCCAGCAGAGCTGGGGCTGTCAGTGTTGGGGGGGACGTGTCCCTGGAGGTTTCATATCATGACATGTGCTTTCCCAAGATTACGCTTTAATTCCTGGTGACCCCCGGCCACTCCTGGAGGGCTGGCCCCCCTCTGCAGCCCCTCTCCATGTAAGGGGGCACACGGGTTTCCACCCCAGGCAAGAAGGGGTTAATGGACCACCTGAAGGCCCTGTTGGAGCAGGGGGCAGGGCAGGGCAGGGAGGAGGAGAGCGGGCAGTGCGTGTGGGTGGCAGGGGAGGTAGGCCCAGGGCTGGGGAGGCCGGTCTGCTGGAGAGAAGCGAAGTGTTCAGGTCATTTCCTACGTGTTTTGGACAGGGAGGGGCAGAGCTGGGTCACCACGGCAGGGAAACTGAGGCTCAGTGGTTCCACAGACGGCCAGCAACACCCCATCCAGCGGGCCTGGGGGCAGGGATGGAGCCGGGGGGGCTGCCAGGCAGGCTGGAGGAGCAGGCGAGCGAGGGGTGGTGCGGTGCTGGGTGGGAGCGTGACAGGGGCAGCCGGGGCCCAGGGCTGGGCGCTGGGGAGACCCGGGCTGTTACTGGTTCTGCCACTCATCCTGTGAACGTGGGCAGGTCATGCCAGGCCTGGACCCCCCCCGAGAGGCCCGGCAACGCACCAGATGGAAGCAGGGCCTCCCCCTCACTCGGCTGGTCTGGCAGGTGCTGCTAAACCAGGGCCAAGGCCACACCGGGAGCAAACTGCAGCAGCGGGCTTGTGGCAGGCGTCAGCTCCACTCCCCCGCCCCCTCAGCGCTGGCCTGGCTTCGCCTTCACAAACCTTTAGCCCGCAGACTGTGAGGAGCTCAGAGCCACGGGCACAGCCAGGGCAGGTGGCTGGCAGGAGAGGTGCCCATGCCTGCTCAGGAGCGGGCCTAGGTGTAGCTTCCCCTGCCCCTGGGGCACCCCTGCGGAGGCGGAGAGTAGGGGACACGGCGCTCCCCCTGCTGGGGGAAGGGGCGGAGCTGGGGCTCATAGCAAGGTGCCCCTCTACCCGCGGGCCGCCCGTGAGCCAGGCTGCGGCAGTCAGGACACAAACCGCCTGCTAGGGCTACGGCCCAGCACCCCTGCGAGCAGCCAGCAAACACCCTGTGGGGTGCGAACATGCCAGCTGCACCCGGCTCCCTCAGCCAGAGCAGGGGGGAGGGGAACACACAGGCCCCCCAGGGCACGTCCCGTGGAGCCTCTGGCAGCAGCCCCAGGCCTGTCCCGGCTTGGATGAGCTCCCTGGCGCTGCTGCTCCGGGCCAGGCCTGCCTGGGCGCCACCTCCCGCCTTCAGCCACGGCTGCCTTGGCCTCGCTGTCCTCAGGCTAGCGCTGCCAGGGGAGCCGGGGGGATGCCGAGCTCCTCTACCTGCCCCCCGGCGCTGGGCAGGGGACCCAGGGTCAGGGCGGAGGCCAGGCCCTGCCCAGCCCAGGCCTTGCCCCTGGGAGCTGCCGGCTGGGGTAGCGAGGAGGGGAGGTCACTCCCCTGTGCCCTCTGTCCAAGGTGGCCATGGAGGCTCGTGGGGGAGTGGGCCGGGGGTGTCCGCCTGCCCTGCGGAGTCGCACCCCGAACGCCATCGGGTTCTCTAAGGCACAGCTGTATCCAGGCCAGCGTCACCAGCAGCCCCAAGGATCCTGCACTCCCAAGTCTCCAATGCCAGGCCCCAGCGGGAGAGGGCCACTGTTGGCACCGGCCCCAGGACTGAGCTGCAGACGGGCCCAGGGCGACCCAGGGCAGGAGGCTGGAGCCCCACAGGGCCCGTCTCCCAGCAGTGGCGTCCCGCAGGGTCACAGTCACCCACAAGCCTCGTCTTCGTAGGCGATCGCGATCCCCCTCCGGCCCGGCACGGCCTTTGTCACGGGCGTCTGGCCCAGCTGCTGCTCCAAGCCCTGCCAACTGCGCGACTCCAGGAAGGAAGCTGGGAGCAAGGGAGGGGGAGAGTGGTTAGTGGGAACCGGGCACAGGCCTGTGGGGGAGCTCCCGGCTGCTCCAGCCTGGGCTTCTCCCAGCAGGGGGCGCTGCAGGGACAGGAGCATTGGCTGGGGGTGGGGGTCCCGGCTATTCCAATCCAAGCAGGGGGCACTGTGGGGAGTGGGGCAGGCTGGGTGGGGTTCCGGATACTCCAGCCCCAGCAGGAGGTGCTGTGGGACGGGGAGGGCTGGCTGGGTCGGGTTCCGGATACCCCAGCAAGGGGTGCTGTGGCAGGCTGGGTGGGGTTCCGGATACTCCAGCCCCAGCAGGAGGTGCTGTGGGACGGGGAGGGCTGGCTGGGTCGGGTTCCGGATACCCCAGCAAGGGGTGCTGTGGCAGGCTGGGTGGGGTTCTGGATACTCCAGCCCCAGCCAGGGGCGCTGTGGGCAGAGGTTTGGCATCACTTTATGGGGTGGAGAGGGTGGACAGGGGAGACACAGGGAGGGCAAATAAAGCAAAGTTCAAACCTGCCGGGCTGATCTCGGCCAGTGCGAGCGCCGGGTTCCTGCAGGCCAGGGCAGAGCTGGAGGATGGGGCCGGGGAGCTGGAGAGCCCAGCCGCGCGCAGCTCCCCAGTGATCAGCGACACGTCGGGAACGTCGCCTTCTCCGGGGACCGTGTCTGGGAAGCCGACATGTGCACAGCCACCTGCCCGGGTGAGAGACATCAGAGAGCAGCCTCTGGGGGCAGCCAGCCCCAAATCCACCCTACCAGGCTGGGTCCCACACCCACAGCTACCCACCCTGGGGTTACCCTGCATCTGGAGCCTCACACGGTCCAGCTCACCCAGTGAGTCACATAACGTGAGAACTGGGTATGGCAGGGCTCCTGGCTACTCCAGCCCCGGCCTCTCCCAGCAGGAGGCGCTGTGGGGAGCAGGACAGAGTGCAGGCTTGGGGGGAGCCCCAGCCACGGCCAGCAGGGGGCGCTGCAATAGCTCCCGGTGGCTCTGGCGCTGTCCCCTTGGCACGGAGCCGGCCGGGTACCTGGCAGCAGGTCTCTGAAGTCAGTGACATAGAGGCTGCTCCATTCCCGGGCTGGGTTGCAGGCCAGCTCCAGCTCGTAGGGTGTCACCACGGGCCGGTAGAAGTCCCTGGAGTCCAGCAGGGAGTTCTGGGGACAGGCCACCAGCACGAAGACGTCCACCTCCAGGAAGTTGGCCAGCTTGGCGGGGCTCAGCTTGCCCATGGCCAGGGTGTAGCTGCGCTTGCCGGCCCGGCTCAGGATGCCCCGCAAGTGTTCCAGGATGGAGAGGTAGCCGGCCACGCCCAGCGTGCCCACCAGGATGCCCACCACGCGGGCGTCCCGTGCCCGCTCCACCAGGTAGAGGCGCCTCAGCAGCGCCCGGTTGCTGTCGAGGCTCTCGCGCCGGCCATGGCCCGTGGCCGGGTTGAAGGAGCTGAAGGGGCAGCGGTTCCAGCTCAGCATGAAGTTGGTGAGGGCCAGGCCCTCGGCGCCCACGTAGAACATGGCGTAGCCCTTCAGCCCGCTCTGCGCCTCCACTGCAAAGAGGCGCCCGAACTGCCGCACCAGCCCCGGGCCCTGCGGGCGGTCAGGGGCCTCGTCACTCGCCAGGCGGGAGAAGACGACATGGGGGTACTCCGGGCCCAGCAGCTGCTCCAGCTCACCTGGGGGGAAGGGGATGACAGGCTGAGCAGGCCCCACGCAGGCCAGCCCCATGCAGAGAGCCCGCCGGGCAGGGACAGGAGAGGGCTGCCAGGCAGAGGCATCGGTAGGCCTGTGTATGGGGGACCCAGGCCGGGGCAGCAGGGGCCCGTGGAGCTCAGGGGATCGGACGGGCTAGCCAGCCTGGTTTGGTTCCTGCTGCTGCTCTGACCCATCCCCCCCGGCGAGGAGCAGTGTTGCAGCGGGCATGCGACCCCCCCTGCACGCTGTGACAATGCACCCCAAACTCCCCACAGTGATAGGATGATGATGATGCACCTGGTACAAGATCAGTCATGTGAGGGGTCTCCGGAAAAGTGATGATTTGCTGGATAGGATCACCCGATCCGTGGGCATGTGTCATTTTTGTATCTGGAGTTACAAATATTGACTGGGGAACTGCACTTCAAATGGGCTCACCCTGGGCGACACCCACAGCCAGCCTGTTAGGTACAGCAAGGAAGAAGCTTGACTGTGCCAATGGCCTATCAGCAAAGCCAATGGACCATGGAAAAGCTTGGCCTTCCGGTGAACGTTTCAGCCAGCCAATGAGTAATGGCTGCTATGACCCAGCAAGGACATGTGACCAGACCACATGACCCTGAACTCCATTTTGGTACCTTTGGTATTTTTCCACAGACTGGGCTGGGAACTTAGCTGGGAACAAAGGGTTCCTGCCAAAGGGAGAGACTATATAAGGTGTGGAGTGAGATCATGATTGGTCTTCACTCCCCCACAACTCAACACCTGGAAGCAGCTTCAAAAGACAAAGGACTTGGAATGGGGGAGGGGAACCCAGGTTGCCCAGCAATTGCAGTCTGTGCCTTAACAATCTGCAAGCCGGCTTGTCCCATCAGTCAGGGTGAGAAGCAGCTAATTCAAATGCCATCTGTCTAGTATGTCAGGCTTAGTTGCGGTTTTGTTTATTTGCTAGGTAATCTGCTTTGATCTGTTTGCTATCCCTTATAATCACTTACAATCTCTTTCTGCAGTTAATACACTTGTTTTAAGTTTTATCTTAACCAGTGGGAATTGGTCCTGCTTCGAGCAGGGGGTTGGACTAGATGACCTTCTGGGGTCCCTTCCAACCCTGATATTCTATGATTCTATGATTCAGTGTGACTTTAAGTGAAGCACCTGGAAAATCTCAGCTTGGTTAACACAGGCTTGTTGTGCATCTCTCACCCTCATTGAGGGAACTATATTAACGAGCTCGCACTGTATAGATCCCTGTGCAGTGCAAGATGCTATAATACTGGGTTTATACTCCAGTAGGGGTGCAAGGCGGGGGAGCTGGGAAATTGGCTGGTGTCTCCTGTTTGTCCTTGAGTGGCTCAGGTAAAGCACTCAGGTAGCTCAGCTGGGTGTGTGGCGCCACCTGCTGTTGTGTTGGGTGCTAACAGGGCCTGGAGAGGTTGGCTGAATCACCAGCACAGCAGCGTGAGAAGGGCCAGCCCAGCTGGATGATTTAGGGGGCACAGTGGTTCACACAGCCCCCAGACAGCACCCCGGGGGTGACAACCCATCACGCATGGCCCACCCCGGACGCAGCTCTCACCTAGCGCGTGGGCGTAGACCACGTCACTCAGCACCACCACGTGGCTCTGGCGGTCAGGGTAGAGCTCCCGGAAGGCCCCAGCGCAGCGCTCCGTGTCCAGGGGCTGCTGGCCAAACACGTGCAGCACCAGCAACTTCCTGCAAGGGCTGAGACACGCTGGGCCGTAGTGCACCACGGCCTCTGCCCCCACGTGCTCCGCAGCCACCTCGTCCACACAGCAGCTACCGGGGGAAGGGAAAGCGTCAGCCGGAGACACGGCGACCTCGGGGGCCCACAGGCAATGCAGCACAGGAGGCTGCTCTCCTCTGCCCCCACCTCCTCCCACTGGGCCCTGCACTCCGACACCGGGGTGCCCGGCCACTCTAGGCACAGTCGCAGCGGGCCCAGCATCGCTTTGGGCAACCTCCCCGGAGCCTGCACTGGCCACAGCGGGAGAGGGGGGCCCGACAGCCCAGCAGTGAGCAACGCGCCCTGCTCCTCACGGAACCTCCCAGGGGAGGGCAGAGGAGCGGGGATTCACAGGAGCCCCTCAAACCGACGGGGATGGCACGGGCGACCCATCAGTCAAATCAAGCCCAAAGCTGCCATTGCTTACGGGGTGGGGTACAAGTCACGCCCCTCTCCGGAGGGGAGCAGCCGGTTGCTCACTGTAGTGGGACCTGGCACAGAGTGATCAGACGGGCGTGTTGACAGGACCCAGGGGGAGCAGCGAGAACGCCAGAGGGGCCGCAGGACAGGAGGAAAAATGGGGGGGAGCCCTCTGAGCCCCAAGAGGAGGCAGGGGCCCAATCGGAGGGGGATGGGCCGTGCCACCTGGCAGCCCAAGGCTGGGCGCACAGTGGCTCCTGTCCTGGGGGGCAGCTTCTCACCTCCCACGGATCCAGCATGGGGGAAGGGCTGAGGCTGGAGTCCAACCTGAGCCCAGGTGTGGGGAGCCCACACCGCCCCTCCGCGGCACCTACCTGCCGTACGACGTGTCCCCCAGGATGTACATTTTGCTGCCGGTCGCCTCCTCCATCTTGGCTGCAACGGCGGCTGAATCTGCCAGGAGCTCGTCGGGGAACTGCAGGGCAACCTGCCGGCAGGGCCAGCGCAGGGAGACGTGGGTACATGCAAGGCCCAGCCCCCACATATGGAGCCCCTGCCCAGCCACGCTTAGGGCAGCCCCACCGAGCAGAACAGGGATCTCTGCAGCCAGCTGTGGCCCCATTGTGGGCTGCCTGGGTCAGGGAGCCGAAGAGCCATTCAGTTCTCTGTGACACCCCCTCAGCCCCGGGGTGCTGCTGCCCGCTCCACCGGCAGGCCGGGGCGCCAGGACAATCCCCAGCTGCCCAGGGAACCTGCCCCAGCTATCGGGAGAGGCGCAGCCAGGCTGAAGGGCGCGTGCGGCCAATCTCTGTGGGAGGGTCACTGGCAGCGCCAGCCGGTGTGGGCCTGCACCTGGGGGTGGGAGGTGGGTCTGACACCAGCGTGCTACCCAGGGGAGCTAAGGGACCACGGACAGGCCTGGGGGGGAGAACGTCCGAGCTCTCGACACCGACTCACCCTGCGAAACCCGCTCGCTGTGACGAAGGCCGCGGCTCGCTCCAGCTCGTAGAACGCATCGAGGGCCTCGGCAGGGGTCCTGCCGCTCGACTCCTTGACAGCCAGGGCCCTCTGGACCACCTCGGCCCCATCGTGACTGAAAAGGGTCGCCATGGTTACCCCAGCATCACCTGCACCCACAGGCCGTGGGGAAGGAAGCTGGAGCATTTATCAGGGTTTGGCCGCGCTCCGGAGGCTGCAGTGGCGTGGCTGTGACGGGTCAGTGCAGCCGTAACAGTGCCGGGGAACCCCCCGGGTCGGTGTAGGTCCCCCGCCTCCCTCCCACCAGCCTAGCGCCGGCCACGCGGGGCTTAGGTCACTTTCCTCACGGCCCCGAGCGACACTGCGCCGAGCGCAGCCTGGCCTCAGTCTCTGTACCTGAGCGGCCGCTCGGCGAGGGTGTCGCCGGGCCCCACCCGGCCCCCGGGAAAGGAGAGGGGCAGGAAAGCACTGGGCAGAGCTCCCCAGCTGGGACCAGCGCACAGGGGCCCCTGCACTGACCTGGCTCCCGAGCCTGGGGCAGGGGACTCAGGGCCTTTCGCCGCTAGGGGGCGCCGACCCCGATCCAGCTCCAGGGGGGCGGTCTGGCTGACTCGGGGTGGGGGGGTGTTGGAGGGACTGGCTGACTCACGGGGGCCAGGTCGGGGGTGGGAGCTGAGGCGGGCTGGCTCGGGGAGCGTCATGGGGGTGGGACTGGGGGGCAGAGTGGGGGGCAGGGGAAGCGGGGGGCTGGCTGGGGAGAGCGTGGGGGGAGGGACTGGGGGGCAGAGTGGGGGCGGGGGGAGCTGGGGCGGGCTGGCGGGGAGAGCCGTGGGGGGAGGGACTGGGGGGCAGAGTGGGGGGGGGGGGAGCTGGCGCGGGCTGGCTCGGGGAGAGCCGGGGGGGAGGGACTGGGGGGCAGAGTGGGGGCGGGGGGGGAGCTGGGGCGGGCTGGCTCGGGGAGAGCCGTGGGGGGAGGGACTGGGGGGCAGAGTGGGGGGCGGGGGGGGAGCTGGGGGCGGGCTGGCTCGGGGAGAGCCGTGGGGGGAGGGTCTGGGGGGCAGAGTGGGGGGCGGGGGGGGAGCTGGGGCGGGCTGGCTCGGGGAGAGCCGTGGGGGAGGGACTGGGGGGCAGAGTGGGGGGGGGGGGAGCTGGGGCGGGCTGGCTCGGGGAGAGCCGTGGGGGGAGGGTCTGGGGGGCAGAGTGGGGGGGGGGGAGCTGGGGCGGGCTGGCTCGGGGAGAGCCGTGGGGGGAGGGACTGGGGGGCAGAGTGGGGGGGGGGGGAGCTGGGGCGGGCTGGCTCGGGGAGAGCCGTGGGGGGAGGGACTGGGGGGCAGAGTGGGGGGGGGGGGGGAGCTGGGGCGGGCTGGCTCGGGGAGAGCCGTGGGGGGAGGGACTGGGGGGCAGAGTGGGGGGGGGGGGGGAGCTGGGGGCGGGCTGGCTCGGGGAGAGCCGTGGGGGGAGGGTCTGGGGGGCAGAGTGGGGGGGGGGGGGAGCTGGGGCGGGCTGGCTCGGGGAGAGCCGTGGGGGGAGGGACTGGGGGGCAGAGTGGGGGGGGGGGGGGAGCTGGGGCGGGCTGGCTCGGGGAGAGCCGTGGGGGGAGGGTCTGGGGGGCAGAGTGGGGGCGGGGGGGAGCTGGGGCGGGCTGGCTCGGGGAGAGCCGTGGGGGAGGGTCTGGGGGGCAGAGTGGGGGGCGGGGGGAGCTGGGGGGGCTGGCTCGGGGAGAGCCGTGGGGGAGGGACTGGGGGGCGGTGGGGGGGGGGGGGAGCTGGGGCGGGCTGGCTCGGGGAGAGCCGTGGGGGAGGGTCTGGGGGGCAGAGTGGGGGGGCGGGGGGAGCTGGGGCGGGCTGGCTCGGGGAGAGCCGTGGGGGAGGGACTGGGGGGCAGAGTGGGGGGGGGGGGGGGCTGGCTGGCGGGGGGGGGGGTGGGGGCGGGAGCTGGGGAGAGCCGTGGGGGGAGGGACTGGGGGGCAGAGTGGGGGGCGGGGGGAGCTGGGGCAGGCTGGCTCGGGGAGAGCCGTGGGGGGAGGGTCTGGGGGGCAGAGTGGGGGCGGGGGGGGAGCTGGGGCGGGCTGGCTCGGGGAGAGCAGTGGGGGGAGAGCCGTGGGGGAGGGACTGGGGGGCAGAGTGGGGGGCGGGGGGGGAGCTGGGGCGGGCTGGCTCGGGGAGAGCCGTGGGGGGGAGGGACTGGGGGGCAGAGTGGGGGCGGGGGGGGAGCTGGGGCGGGCTGGCTCGGGGAGAGCCGTGGGGGAGGGTCTGGGGGGCAGAGTGGGGGGGGGGGGGAGCTGGGGCGGGCTGGCTCGGGGAGAGCCGTGGGGGGAGGGAGTGGGGGGGGGAGCTGGGGAGAGCCGTGGGGGGAGGGTCTGGGGGGCAGAGTGGGGGGGGGGGGGAGCTGGGGCGGGCTGGCTCGGGGAGAGCCGGGGGGGAGGGAGTGGGGGCGGGAGCTGGGGAGAGCCGTGGGGGGAGGGTCTGGGGGGCAGAGTGGGGGCGGGGGGAGCTGGGGCGGGCTGGCTCGGGGAGAGCAGTGGGGGGAGAGCCGTGGGGGAGGGACTGGGGGGCAGAGTGGGGGGCGGGGGGGAGCTGGGGCGGGCTGGCTCGGGGAGAGCCGTGGGGGGAGGGGCTGTGGGGGGGGGGGTCTGGCTGCCGTGGGGGGAGGGTCTGGGGGGCAGAGTGGGGGCGGGGGGGAGCTGGGGCGGGCTGGCTCGGGGAGAGCCGTGGGGGAGGGTCTGGGGGGCAGAGTGGGGGCGGGGGGAGCTGGGGCGGGCTGGCTCGGGGAGAGCAGTGGGGGGAGAGCCGTGGGGGAGGGACTGGGGGGCAGAGTGGGGGGCGGGGGGGAGCTGGGGCGGGCTGGCTCGGGGAGAGCCGTGGGGGGAGGGACTGGGGGGCAGAGTGGGGGGGGAGCTGGGGCGGGCTGGCTCGGGGAGAGCCGTGGGGGGAGGGTCTGGGGGGCAGAGTGGGGGGGGGAGCTGGGGGGGGCGGGCTGGCTCGGGGAGAGCCGTGGGGGGAGGGACTGGGGGGCAGAGTGGGGGGGGAGCTGGGGCGGGCTGGCTCGGGGAGAGCCGTGGGGGGAGGGGCTGTGGGGGGCGGGGGTCTGGCTGCCGTGGGGGGAGGGACTGGGGGGCTGGAGGGGGTTGTGGGGGGCGGGGCTCTGGCTGCCTGGGGGGGTCCCAGCGGGCTCCGATAAGGAGCCCGGCGCCCAGGTCTAGCCGTCACTAGGGCCCAGAGTGAACAGCCCCCGTCCCACGCGGGGTCCCAGCCTCCCCCACTCACCGGCCTCCCCGGCAGAAACCACATGGACTCGCCCGGGACTTGCTCCCAGGGCAAGGACAGAGCCAACCAATGACGAGCCGGCGTTGTCCCCGCCCGGAAATCCCGCCCCAGAGCTCGGAGCCAATCGCAACACGTGTGGGAGAGAAGCTGCGGTCGCAGCCAATGAGAGGAGCCGGCACAGACGTGCGGTGAGGAAGGGGCTGGCGCGGAGCACTCTGGGCTTTGTAGTTTGATCCCCTGGTACCGCCCGCCCGCCCGGGAGCCAATCGCCAGCCTCGCCTCGGTCACGTGCCGGGGCCCCGGCCCGCCCGGTCACATGGTGTGAGTCAGGTGACCTGCCCCCGGCCCGGCCGGTCCTTCCCCGCAGTCCGCGCTGAGGAGCCGCCGCCATGTCCGGGCCCCTCCTGCTGTACGCGGGCCTCGGCCTCGCCTTCTGGAGCGCGCTGGCCGGCGTGGGTGAGCGGCGGGGGCCGGGGAAGGGGGGTTAGTTGGGGGGCGCGGAGATGGAGGGGGCCCGGGGAAGGGGGGTTAGTTGGGGGGGCGCGGAGATGGAGGGGGCCCGGGGAAAGGGGGGGTTAGTTGGGGGGGGCGCGGAGATGGAGGGGGGCCCGGGGAAGGGGGGTTAGTTGGGGGGCCCGGAGATGGAGGGGGCCCGGGGAAGGGGGTTAGTTGGGGGGCCCGGAGATGGAGGGGGCCGGGGAAGGGGGGTTAGTTGGGGGGGCCCGGAGATGGAGGGGGCCCGGGGAAGGGGGTTAGTTGGGGGGGGGCGGAGATGGAGGGGGCCGGGGAAGGGGGGTTAGTTGGGGGGCGCGGAGATGGAGGGGGCCCGGGGAAGGGGGTTAGTTGGGGGGCGCGGAGATGGAGGGGCCCGGGGAAGGGGGGTTAGTTGGGGGGGCGCGGAGATGGAGGGGGGCCGGGGAAGGGGGGGTTAGTTGGGGGGCGCGGAGATGGAGGGGGCCCGGGGAAGGGGGTTAGTTGGGGGGGGGAGATGGAGGGGGCGGGGAAGGGGGGGGGGGGGGGGGGGGGGGGGGGGGAGGGGGGGGGGGAAGGGGGTTAGTTGGGGGGGGCGCGGAGATGGAGGGGGCCCGGGGAAGGGGGGTTAGTTGGGGGGCGCGGAGATGGAGGGGGCCCGGGGAAGGGGGGTTAGTTGGGGGGCGCGGAGATGGAGGGGGCCCGGGGAAGGGGGTTAGTTGGGGGGGCGCGGAGATGGAGGGGGCCCGGGGAAGGGGGGTTAGTTGGGGGGCGCGGAGATGGAGGGGGCCCGGGGAAGGGGGGTTAGTTGGGGGGCGCGGAGATGGAGGGGGCCCGGGGGAAGGGGGGTTAGTTGGGGGGCGCGGAGATGGAGGGGGGCCGGGGAAGGGGGGTTAGTTGGGGGGGCGCGGAGATGGAGGGGGCCCGGGGAAGGGGGTTGGTTGGGGGCGCGGAGATGGAGGGGGCCCGGGGAAGGGGGGGGGAAGGGGGTTGGTTGGGGGGGGAGATGGAGGGGGCGGGGAGGGGGGTTGGTTGGGGGGGAGATGGGGGGGGGGGGGGTAGTTGGGGGGGGGAGATGGGGGGGGGGGAAAGGGGGGTTGGTTGGGGGGCGGAGATGGAGGGGGCGGGGAAGGGGGTTGGTTGGGGGGGGGGGGGGGCCGGGGAAAGGGGGGGTTAGTTGGGGGGCGCGGAGATGGAGGGGGCCGGGGAAGGGGGGTTAGTTGGGGGGCGCGGAGATGGAGGGGGCCCGGGGAAGGGGGGGTTAGTTGGGGGGGCGCGGAGATGGAGGGGGCCCGGGGAAGGGGGGTTAGTTGGGGGGCGCGGAGATGGAGGGGGCCGGGGGAAGGGGGGTTAGTTGGGGGGCGCGGAGATGGAGGGGGCCCGGGGAAGGGGGGGTTGGTTGGGGGCGCGGAGATGGAGGGGGCCCGGGGAAGGGGGGTTGGTTGGGGGGCGCGGAGATGGAGGGGGCCCGGGGAAGGGGGTTGGTTGGGGGCGCGGAGATGGAGGGGGCCCGGGAGGGGGGTTGGTTGGGGGGCGCGGAGATGGAGGGGGCCCGGGGAAGGGGGGTTGGTTGGGGGCGCGGAGATGGAGGGGGCCCGGGGAAGGGGGGTTGGTTGGGGGCGCGGAGATGGAGGGGGCCCGGGGAAGGGGGGTTAGTTGGGGGGCGCGGAGATGGAGGGGGCCCGGGGAAGGGGGTGGGGGGGGAGATGGAGGGGGGGGGGAGGGGGTTGGGGGCGCGGAGATGGAGGGGGCCCGGGGAAGGGGGTTAGTTGGGGGGGGGCGCGGAGATGGAGGGGGCCCGGGGAAGGGGGGTTAGTTGGGGGGGGGCGCGGAGATGGAGGGGGCCCGGGGAAGGGGGGTTAGTTGGGGGGCGCGGAGATGGAGGGGGCCCGGGGGAAAGGGGGTTAGTTGGGGGGCGCGGAGATGGAGGGGGCGGGGGCGCGGAGATGGAGGGGGCCGGGGAAAGGGGGTTAGTTGGGGGGCGCGGAGATGGAGGGGCCCGGGGAAGGGGGGGTTAGTTGGGGGGCGCGGAGATGGAGGGGGCCGGGATGGAGGGGGGGGGAAGGGGGGTTAGTTGGGGGGCGGGAGATGGAGGGGGGGGAGGGGGTTAGTTGGGGGCGCGGAGATGGAGGGGGCGGGGAAGGGGGGGTGGGGGGGGGGGGATGGGGGGGGGGGAGGGGGGGGCGCGGAGATGGAGGGGGCCCGGGGAAGGGGGGTTAGTTGGGGGGGCTGGGGGAGATGGTCAGTTGCGGGAGGCGGAAGGGGTCAGAGTTGGGGGGAAGGGGACGGGCTGGGGGGGCAGTGGCAGGAGTCCCGGTGTGTGAAGTCCCTTCTGTCTGGGCAGGGATCTGCCTCGCACCCCCTGCCCCAGGGCAGCGCCCTCCTGCCTTCGTTGGCACCTGCTGGAGCAGGGGAGTCGGACGGGGCTGGCTCCAGGCAGGAGCTTGGGGCTTCTTGCTCCTGTCGCCCATTTCGCCGAGCCCAGGCCAGTGGCGACCCACAGACCGTGGCAATGGGACGGGGGCCCCTGCCTCGCCTGCTGCGGGGTGCTCCCAGTCTCCTCTTTGATCACAGGCAGCTAAGGTTGGCCGGCTGCCTGGTGGGCTCTGAGTGTTCTTCCTGTCCGGTTTGGCTCTGGCTGTGGTGCGTGGGCTGAGCTGCAGTTTGTACCAGTGTGCTCTGCCCCTAGGCTGCGTTCCTTAGCTGGGCATTCGCTTGCAAGTGTCTGCCACAGTGGGGTAGAGCTGTCCGGTTCATAGTGAGTCCAGAGCCCCTATCTGTCCCCTTTGGCAGCCCCTGCAAAGGCCAGGAATGAATGACCCCTGGAGACTGAGCCCCCTTGTGCCTGAGCATGAAAGGACCTGCAGTGTGGGGGGCTCTTCCGGACAGGGTTCAGCGGCATCAGTGGGGGGCTGTGGCAGGTTTGCGTCGCTGCTGTCTGCTGGGCAGGTCCTGTGGACAAGCTGGGGGGAGGCTGGACTGGTCCTGTGGACCAGCGAGGGCCCAGTCTCCTTTCGCTGCAAGGATTCTCCTGCTAAGACTTCCCTCGGGTAGGAGTTTCTCTTCCCTGCTGCTCCCGCAGGACTCTTACTCTAATCTGTAGTAGTTCTTGGTCAGCATCCCCTGGGAGTGTCTTCAGCTGGATCTAGATAGTCACTTTTTGGGGGGTATTTCATCCCCTCATGTTGAAGGGGACAGGTCTACCAGGCAGAGCACAGAACTGGGAGCCAGGCCTCCTGGGTTCTATTCCTGGCTCTCTGACCCACCCTGCTTCACCTCTTCCCCATTGGTAAACAGGGGTGACCGGTGGTGTTGTGGGGGCTAGTCTGTGTCTATCAAGTGCCAGGCAAGTTGTCATTTGGCTCCAAAAGGGAGGAGGGGCAGCAGCAGGACTGCAGGAAAGCAAGTAACTGTGGCTTTCCGGATGGAGGAACCCAGCCTCTTCCAGGCTGAGAAGCTGGCTCTCCTTCGTGATTGTCAGAACTATGTTGTTTTGAGTAGGTGCACGAGTTTTTCCAAGCTTTGGCTTGAAGCCGGCGGTGTAACAATTCTGCAGCACAAAGGAAATGCCCCATGGAAGGGCAGCCCTCCTGGCAGTGGGGTCACACTGTCTGGTATCCTCGTGGTGACCATGGTTTTGAAGGTCAGAGCGTCCCTGAGGACTAGTCAGGCTGTACTTCGATGGAGTTGCAGGTTAGCGCCTGCTCTCACAGCCGAGTGAGGTGGGCACGAACAGCCTGGCTCCTCTGAGAGACAACTCCAGACTCGGTGCTCAGCTGAAGGGGCAACTGAATAACAAGGTGACTATGCTGATGGCACGGTCAGGATCTCCCTGGAGGTCCTATGGGCCTGCACCGCTCTAATCCACCCCCTGCTGAAGTGAACACCACATCCAGAGTCGGCTTAATGAGATCCACGAATCAGGCAGCTCTTGGGGACGTGCTGAGTGCAGCATCTGTGACGTGGGCTTGCCGAGCCATCAGGGAATGGTTTCTAGTTGAGGCCGGGCATTGACTGCCCATGTCCGGTGTAATCCCGGCTCCAGTAAAGAGCAGGCAGGGACCGATCTGTGCCTTTGTTTCGTCATTCTTGCATGGTCAGCAAAGTGCCAGAGAACTACCACCGGGAACGCGCCAGGGCTCGCTGGCAGCACCGCTGCAGCCTGCAGTGACCCCCGCCCCTGGCCTCGCACCTGCGCTGTGCGGTCTGGGAGCTGGCACGCAATGGAAACCGTGTCTGTCACCCGGCCTGTTTTGTCAATAAAACCCAGGGCCGAATATGTTCTGAGCCAGTGAGAAGGTGCTGTAGGAACCTGCTTTGGGTTTGGCCCTGTGCTAGTCAGTGGCAGCTGTGACTGGCTGGGCCTGGTGGCAGGACCCCAGTCTGTAGAGCAGGATCTGTAGAACCCAAAACAGTAAACAGCCCCAGTGCAGACAACTCTGCCCTGGCAGAGACAGTCAGGCATCTGGGCACACGCTGGAGTGGGGAAAAGGGAAAGGGGCCTGCAACGCTTCTGCCCATGCTATAGGAGTGGTCCCTGCCAGGAACAGCCTCCTCCCCTGCGGGAGCAGTGCCGTTCCTTGTGCGGGTTGCTCAACTGCCAAGAGTGACTCGTTCCTTCCTCCTTTCGTGGCGGGGCCTTCTGGGAACTGCTTTGCTTCCTCTCTTGCGCTCCTCACCCCGTGGCAACTCCAGCCAGAGC